AGATGCCCACCACCACGCCCAGCTAATTTTTGTATTTTTAGTAGAGAAAGGGTTTCATCACGTTGGCCAGGCTGGTCTTGAACTCCTGACCTCAAATGATCCACCCACCTCAGCTTCCCAAAGTGCTGGGATTACAGGCGTGAGCTTTTACAGAGTTTTAAAGGATAATTTGGTGGGTAGGGGGCCAGTGAATCGGGAGTGCTGGCTGGTTGGCTGGGGGTTGAAATCACAGGGAGTGGAAGCTGTTCTCTTCTGCTGAGTCAGACCCTGGGTGGGGGCCACAGATCTGGTTGACAAGTCCAGGTGGGGCCATCCGGTTGTTTGAAATGCAAAAACCTGAAAAGCCATCTCAAAAGGCTGATCTTAGGTTCACAATAGTGATGTCACCTTCAAGAGTGATTGGGGAAGTTGCAAATCTCATTTCCTCCAGAATAATGGCTGGTAATACTTAGAATTCCAGCTCTTCTTATTCTAACTTGATGGCTGGTGGCCTTTCTTTCATTTTACAAGAAGAGTTTAGCTTTGGGGAAGGGCTATTAGATTTAGTTTACAAACTAAATTCCTTCCCAAGGCTAGTTCTGCCTACACCCAGGAATGGATAAGGAGAGTTTAGATGTTAGAAGCAAGATGGAGTGGTTAGGTCTGATGTTTCACTGTTATAATCTCCTTGGTTATAATTTTGCAAAGGTGGTTTCACTGTTCTTCCACCGGGGTTGTGGAAATGGAAGGTCGGGTGTCAGAGAAGGGTCTTTCAGGCTAGAGTGAGGCCTCTATTCTCGGGGTGGGTGGTTGGAGACCAGGACAGAGGACTGCCCCCATTTAGACATGGTGTGTGAGGGCTGGTCTCTGACCACCCTAAGCACAATGAGCCTTGCCCCCACTTATCCTCACTTGGGGCTCCACTTTCTTCAAGGTTGGGGTGTCCGAGGAAGGACACGGATGGGGACACAAAAACAACTCTCATTTCCTACATGTCCTTGAGTTTCAGGCATGGGTACTGCTTCTCTGAAGTCCCCTAAATACAGGGACACAGGTGCAGTCACATGACTTAGGCCTTTCTTTTCTTTTTGAAGTCGGGGTCTCTCTCTGTCCCCCAGGTTGGAGTGCAGTGGCGCGATCTTGGCTCACTGCAACCTCCGCTTCCTGGGTTCAAGCAGTTCTCTGCCTCAGCCTCCCGAGTAGCTGGCATTACAGGTGCCCGCTACCACGCCCAGTTAATTTTTGTATTTTTAGTAGAGGTAGGGTTTCACCATCTCGGCCAGGCTGGTCTTGAACTCCTGACCTCATGATCCACCTGCCCTAGCCTCCCAAAGTGCTGGGATTACAGGCGAGAGCCATCGTGCCCAGCCAATTTAGGCCTTTAACTCTGCCATAACTCCTTTTCTTTAAAACATTGATTTTTTTTCTTTGATTTTTGAGACAGGGTCTTGCCCTGTCACCCAGGCTGGAGTGCAGTGGCCTGGCCTGATCTTGGCTCACTCTGCAACCTCCACCCCCCAAACTCAAGGGATCCTCCCACCTCAGCATCCAGAGTCCCAAGTAGCTGGGACCACAGGTGCGTGCCACTACAGCTGGCTATTTTTTTAATTTTTATTTTTTGTATTTTTAGTACAGACAGTCTTGCTGTGTTGCCCAGTCTGGTCTAGAACCCCTGAGCTCAAGAATCCGCCCACCTCGGCCTCTCAAAGTGCTAGAACTACAGGCCTGAGCCACTGTGCCCCATCTGGAGTCTGCATTTTTAACGAGATGTCAGGTCATTTGTGTGCACACTGAACTTTGAGAAGCTCTGATTGATGGACTGATTGATTGATTGAGACGGAGTCACACTCTGTCGCCCAGGCTGGAGTGCAGTGGTGAGATCTCAGCTCACTGCAACCTCTGCCTCCCAGGTTCAAGTGATTCTCCTGTCTCAGCCTCCAAGTAGCTCCAAGATTACAGGCGCCCACCACTACGCCTGGCTGATTTTTGTATTTTTAGTAGAGACGGGGTTTCACCATGCTGGCCAGGCTGGTCTTGAACTCCTGACATCAAATGATCACCCGACCTCAAGTGATCCGCCCATCCTGGCCTCCCAAAGTGCTGGGATTACAGGTATGAGCCATTGTGCCCAGT